GCACGTCACCACAGTTTCGACTTACGCGCAGCAACTTTTACATGCAAGAATCGAAGCAGTGATTGGCAAAATCAAGCAGTGGACGATGAAGACGTGGAAGAAGAGGAAGAAGATGATGAAGAAGTACCACCAGCAGAAGCTCGCCGAGCACGAAGCTGACGACGTTTTTTGACGGCACCCTTGCTGAGAGCACGGGCATGACTGGAGAGTTTCTCTTTGGGCGGCATGGGCAACTACTGGCAAAAGCACCTTATGGCTTACGCGCAGCTTACGCGCAGCTTACGCGACGCTTACGCGGTCCTTACGCGGATGTCAGGAAACAACTACCCAAAACACCCACTGAAGATAACCAATGTTCCTTCAAGAAAAGGCATTCCAATGCATAGGTTGCCTGTCACTCTCTGCATCTGCCCCTTTCTGATATGCTGAATTCTTAAGTACATGTGGGTCCAGCGAATCTTTTCAGTTTATAAATGGTCCATATCGATAGACATGGGGAAAGCATGGGAAAACCATCCATACTCTATAACGCCAGGCAACCTGAAATTGATACCAAAACCATGCAGGTGTGTTGAACTGAAAAACAGGAGGGCTACTGTGGCCCCAGGAAAATCAAAAACCCGTCCGGTCATGTCAGGTTAGGATGCATCATACATACCGCTACTTAAAACCTCAAATTAAAACCGTTGAAAATGAGCTTACGCCATCCTTACGCCAGCAATGTTGGTAAAAAATGCTTACGCAAGCTTACGCGCACCAGTGTTTTGCTTACGCCACAGGCCCTTACAAGGATCCCAATACTAAACATAAACACGGAGGTTTAAAACGCGGCTCAGATGGTACCGTAAACTAACACATCTATGGAACATCATCATTGTTACTGTAATGGGTAAATCAACTATTTCGACTGGGCCATGTTCAATAGCTATATATTAAATTACCAGAGGGTATCCACAAAGGTTGTGTAATATGGATTCATATGGAGCTATGGAAGCCATGGTCCATGAATGATGATTTACCATGATTTACCTGTTGAAGCTGTTAGGATTTTTCATAAAATGGGCAACCACTGGGTAATCATAGGGTGCTGGATCCATAGTACTTGGATGTAGGGATCAATGATCATCCCTGGATCCCTGGATCCCTGGATCCCTTCCGAGTACAGGTAGCTACTTCCGAGGTACTTCTCATTCACCTTCTATATCATACAGTATCACAATCATGGTCACTCAAAAAAATTATCCGGACTCATGTGGTTGGGAAAATCCTGGTAGCCCCTGGGCTCACCATTGAATAGAACATATCTGAAAATACCCTCTGGTAAACTAACATAGCTATGGAAAATCACCACTTTTAATGGGAAAATCCACTATTAATGGCCATTTTCAATAGCTACGTTAAATTACCAGAGTGTAATAGACCCCTCCATCTGACTCAATGGCCCGGTCTTGAAGCCAGATTGGACAATGATGGGATCATCTCCCAACATGGCTTGCCCATGCTTGCCCCCAGCTCCTTTCCCTGACTACTACTGGATAGTATCATACCCTAAATACTCAGAAATGACATAAATCCTCCCTAAGAAGGCCAGTTTTGCAGGTGAACTCCATCCCGTCCCCGCATGGCCTGCACCAGTCGAGACCTGAGGATTTGGGGTCAATTTCCCTTTCGGACCTTTCGACTGATCAAAAAAATTGGATTTCACCCATAAAAAAATGGATTTATATGGATCTATGGGGATTTATGATGATTTCTTGGGTGGATAATATGGTGATTTTTCACAAGAAAGAAAATCCACTTGGTTGATCATCGGAAACAATCTAGAGGGAATCAGTTGGCTTTTCATGTCACATGCAGGCAGAGGTCTGTGGATTATATCCATATCAACTGGGGATATTTACCATCCCTCTAAATAAAGCCACTATGGGATAGTATTATTGGGATGATTCCCCTTCCAAATCAGAGGTCAGGGAGGTAGCTTGAATTTACCTTGTGCATTTGACCATGGGGATCCATTTTGTTGTGATATTACTTGCCGGACTGTAGCAAGTATGTATATATATATATATCTGTACAAAGGGTTTTCTTGCAATTGAAAGGCGAACTTCTCTTGCTGTACCTCGCTTCCCTCAATACCTTCCAAAGGGTCCACAATTCCATCAACAAACAAATGAGCAACGATAGCTTGCTAAAGACCTCACCCTGCAAGATTTGCAATGGAACTATTCGGGCAAATGATTGTGGTTTTCAAGCCTCAGTTTGACTGCAGGATGGAGAGTCTAAAACATGTGAAACCACAAACGCGTAATCGACTGGCTGTATACTTAGCCATGAGATGTTGGCCATTACCAATCTATGAGCTAGCTGATTTATATCTGGTTGGCGGTATACCTACCCCTCTGAAAAATATGAGTCTGAGTTAAAGTCAGTTGGGATGGGATGAAATTCCCAACTGTTTCTGGAAAGTCAAAAAAATCATAATCCAGCCATGTTCCAGTCACCACCGTCCCCTCAGCGGCCACCAGGCACCACGGCGTTAACGGCACTTGGGCCCCTTGGGCCACCGGGGCCCCGGAGGCCACAGGGCCGTGGAGCCGTGCCGTGGCCAAAATGGGTTGGCTCATGGGGCGAGCTAGCCTGGCAGTCCAGTTTGTGGCCAATTTCTTCACTGATCTTTGGAGTTATGAATGGGATTTACTTGGATTTAATGGGATTTAATGGGATTTCATGGAAACTTGATGGGAAATCTATGCAGGATATAATGAGATATGAATCAATGGAATATTAATTAATGGGGATAAGAATGGATAAGATAATTTTAATATTTAACACCCTCCAAAAAACATAGTTTAATGGGGGATGAAACGGCATTCATAGTGGATGGTAGAATGGAGTTTAATATTAGGGGGGATGGGATTAAGTTATATATATATATATGTATGAGTATATAGGGTAACTAGAGTTCATGGATGTTTATGGCAGATATATATATATATATATTTATATCGTTGATGGATTCAAACGGGGTGACAGGATGTGAAAGGCATAAACTAATAACCATAGTTTGGCACAACATTGTAGCTGCTAAAGCCCGAACATCCATCCGGCTCCAATTTTTCTTTATTTTGCCACTGGGTCTCCCCCCAGACGGACGCACGACTTTGGGTTACATGGTCCAGAGATGTTTCATGTTCACCAAATTCGGGCTGCTTGTTATTTCTTCAGCCTTGGGAGGTCGCTCAGAGAAATTCATCGCATCATTTGCGGACCATGCCCAGTCGCGGGAGCCCTCCTACGAGTCAAAATCCACCGTGAAACCATTCGCTGTACTGCAAGATACTGCGAGTAAAAAACCAACACCCGTTACTATATAGACTTACCTGGTTGGTGGTTCGACACACAAACAGTATTCGTCATATTCGTCACTGGGGGAAATCATCCCAAATATGGTTGCACAAGATATTGAAACCACCAGTTCCACATGATGGGATCATGTTGCGTATGGGTCAAGACAGGATTTACTATGCAAGGTGGTATGATGTACTACACTGGTTGGTGGTGCAATAACATACATTTTAACCATCTTGAAAAATGATGGAGTTCGTCAATGGGAAGGAATATCCCATATATGAAATGGAAAATAAATAAAATGCTTGAAACCACCAACCAGTATATATTATTATTCCCAATATATGGAAAAATAATCCAGCCATGTTCCAAACCACCGTCCCCAGTACAAAGATTGACAAGCCACGTACGTCATCAGGATTCTGCGGATTCCCCGATGAAGATCTTAAGGCGATCCGACCATCGGAAATTCGCTAGGATTCACGTTACGGCGACCCCGGTGACCCCCTGCCTCCTGCCCAAAGTTGAAGTTCAACTTCAAAAATGTGAAGTTGACTACCTAATGCCATAAACCTATGTACCATGACTGGGGATGCTTTTTACGAGCCATAATTCCCATAACAATGATATTTTTGGGGATGGTTTATTATTAAGTTTACACCCGTTTACCACAAAGATTTACAGCCTCGCAGCGCGACGATCACGGCAGCATGACAGTGAAACAAGCTGATTGACCTGTTTTTTTGCACCTGTCCAAAAAGGAAGTCTCCCTGAAAATGAGGATACCATCTGGTAATTTAACATAGCTATTGAAAATGGTGATTTGTAGTGGATTTTCCCATTAAAAATGGTGATGTTCCATAGTTATGTTAGTTTACCAGAGGGTAATCCTAAACACCCTTAAGCTTGATACAAATTTCCAAGACTTCGACCTTAAGCAATGGATTCATCAACCATTTAAAGAAGAACCCCTTTGTGTCGCCATGACGTTGACCTCATGTCCAACTCGCAAGTGACAATGATAAGAAGTGTCAACATCATAAGTATGACTGTATGACCTTGCAGGACATTGATAAAGTTGATAAAGTTGATAAAGTGTCAGGCACAGCGGTAAACCAAATCAACAATGTGAGCTTTTTGGATCTTTTTGGCAATATAAACATGTAATCAGGTACCACGAGGTTGGAGGATGTCATCTATACATGCTTTATACCCAAACAACTAAAGTAACCAACCCAGGAATGTCCATATGGTTCTGGAATTTCGACAGGTCAGACAGGTTTCCCTCCAAACAGGTGTTCAAGCTGAGCTATTTTGTCTGCGATGCTCTGAATTATCACCCTGCCATTGTTAGCAGGGCCAACTATAAACTTCAATTTGCTCTGCACCAACACATCACTACAGAAATGGCTCGTACTGTCACACAAGGTGCTTTGCATTTTTTTTTGCAATGGTGAACCTGGCACGTATGATCCGACCTACAATTTTTGGCTGTAGGTCCGTGTCTCTGTTCATTACTTGTGTTTGCCTTTTAAAATGGGTTATGCCCTCCAAATGGTCATTTTCATGGGGACATGATACTAATCACAATGCAAAGGAAATGGTGTTGCCCGATTTTCACACAAAGAAAAAATTCTTGATTTCACCAATTTCACCAATCTCTCAAAATCCACACATCTGCGCAAGGTTGGTGCAGCCTGTCACTATATCAACTGATCTTCCAGGAGGCCGCATGGATTTGAAATCCACGGTCCGCAGATTACCTAAGCAGAAACTGGCGGGAAACCATGGCACGTACCAACTAGTATAAATGTTCTTCTACCCTCTGGTTATTTAACACAACCATGGAAAATGACAATTTTTAAGTTCGGTAAACCATCTATAAATGGACAATTTTCCATAGCTATGTTAAATAACCAGAGGGTAAATTTTACTCTGGCTGGGTTTTTGTTCACCAATTCCCCAAAACAAGTCATCTCAGTCATCCCAAACATCGCTAAGAACAAATAATTTGAAACCTCCAAGCAGCTACAAACCAATGGCACAAAGTTTAAGCCACAGCTGTACCTGCAGTAGCGCCGGTTCCGTGGCACCAGCGGACCGCAAACAGGTGAATAGGACCAGAAGTTCAAGGAATTTCGCAAGTTACTCGTGAGAAATCATACTTTGGGGTGCAGTTCCAATCATAGGTTGACATAAAACATTGTATAACAATCGTTTTAGGGGCCCCATATCCCAATTTATGGCGATTTTAACCATTTATCGTACTCATGAATAACCGTATAATCGATTCTTGGAACACAGTGGGCATCTGTGGAGATGTTCCGTAGCCAGCTTCAAAGAATTGCCGGTTGACAAGAGTGCAGCTGGCGGTTTGGACTGGTGCCCAAAAACACGAACAAAAAATGGAAAGCCCGACCGAGAAGTCGACATTTGGAGGTCCAAATCTCAAAATCCCATGAAATTTCCCCGATTGACAAAAAGGATTGCTCAGTTGCAAGATGGTGCCCCAGTTCGTTCGCTAAGTTGGTTTATAACTCCAATAACTATGGTTTATGGTAGATATATCTGTACTTACTATGGTTTATAAACCAACTTATAACTGGGGGGCACCATCCTGTGCGCAGTGGTTTGTTATTTTGGGAGTTTTTGGTCCCCTTCTCCAGTTGAACTGGCCGAAAATAGTGGCGAACCCATCCAGGTGATGCCCTGAAAACTACCAGAACTAGGGCCTGCCTTGGGGCTCCTTGGTTGCTTCTTCTCCTGGCAGGGAAAAACGTTGAACTGTACCAGGTGATGGGTGGTTTTATCATGGTTCACCTTCCTTTGAAACATATCAATTAGTCAGTTCTGATAGGCATTGAGAATTATCCTTCCAAGTAGGAACAACAGAATATTAGTGAATTTCTCACCTTGGGATACTTTCAGGCGAGGATTTAGCGCTGGGGAAAGTACCAGGACAAACAAACAAGGTACCCTGTGGTCATTGAACATAGCTATGGGAAAAAACACCATGTTTAGTAGGTAAATCCTGTATAAATGGGCCATCTATACCAGATCTAGGCAAATTAATATATTTCACTAACCTGACATAAAGCTATTTGGGGATGATTCCCCGAATCCTAACCATGATTCCAGGGCTCGGGAAAACAGGCTTCGGTCGTTATAATCTGCCCAGCCAGATCTATCCATGACCCCTTTGGGGACCCCTCCAAAAAAGGGCCACCGATGGGCTCCCAACGCTGCCTGGCCGTGGCTGATGAATGTCGGGTAAGGACACGCTGCCCGTGTCCATCTTGTGGAGGGTCACCGCACGCCTCTCATGAGACGATCCACGGATGGAGGTGTCCGAAATTTTTGGGGGTTGCCCAATGATCAATGGGAAAAGCCTATGGTTTGGACCAACAAAGCATATGATAATATTGCAGAAATCATACTGATAGATAATGATAGAAGTCCGATTGTAAAAGGTACCCACCCTATAAATATCTATCATATCAATCATATGCATAAATATAAGGAAACATATGCACATTATCTATTTTAAGGAAACATATGCACATTATCTATTTTAAAGCTGGCACTTACCACTACATCTCTTTATGATTCTGGACTAATTGACTTGACATACCTCCCTCTTGCGCTGAGCAAGAATCCCGATGATTGCAGGGTATATTCTTTGATATGAATCATCATCTCTCTGAATTTCACTCCTCCAGTTTTGATCGCTGATCCCCCCAAAAAATATATTACTTAATATATAAAGATCTATAGAACTGATTAAAACTGTAGATTGTTGGAACTTGTACAAAAATGTCGGCACTTGCAGTAATTCCCTAGTTCATGGTACTCCAAGCCCTTTCCTGCAGGAATTCGCAGGACAATTTGCAGGATTGGCTCTCCCATTTGCATTCGCCATAATTTGCAGGTGCAAATTAACCCTGAAAGGCCGCACTAAGTTGTCGAAATCCTGGCCCTCTGCAACCATGGAGGAATGATGATGAACGCTTCGAATCTTTGGGGATACCCTCTGGTAAATTCACAGTTTGCGAACTGGAAAATCACCATCTTTCATAAGTAAATCAAATATAAATGGGCAATGTCCTATAGCTATGCTAAATTACCGGAGGGTACCCCACTTTTTGACAGACTCCATCCCAAAGCCGGCGGCAGCATCGCCTCTGTTGCCTCTCTTTGCGTGCCTCTTTCCTGTGCCAACACATCATTCACATCTCAGGGGCCATAGTTTTTCCACGTTTTTTCCCATGAAACCCGGCGAGTTCCTGCAACCTTTCGGCAGTTTAGGGCCAAGTTTACCGGTTGGTGGTATACCTACCCCTCTGAAAAATATGAGTTTGTCAGCTGGGATTATGACATTCCCAATATATGGAAAGTCAAAAAAAAACATGTTCCAAACCACCGTCTCCAGTTTAGCATAGTGACCCCATCCTGTAGTAATGATCACCCTGCAATGATGTCATGACGTTGTGGAAAAAAACACCTGGAGGGATAACGTTATTACAATCATCTGCAGGTCGTCATTATCGAAGTGTGTCAAATCAGTAGGACCACATAAGACATTATAGTATTATTAAATATTATCCAATATCCATATCACCAACTATATTTGTTTGTGGTTATTGGATATCACTATATGTTTGGTGGTGCAATAACCATCTTGAAAGATATGAGTTCGTCAATGGGAAGGATTATCCCAACCCATATATGCAATGGAGAATAAAAACCATGTTTGAAACCACCAACCAGTCATCATCCATGTGTCTAAGGCTCACACATCACAAAACTAAATAGTCATCAAGGTAGAAAATAGTGGTCAGCCATGAACATGTCCGTTGGCAAACCCCAAAATCAAGACCCTACCCAATCTTACCCAATCTTAAACCAGTAGAAAATAATTAAGATTGTAAGTCATACCCAATTAGGGTGGACTTATGGTGTTCACCACATAACGTCTACTGAACCAATAATGCAAGAAGTCACCGGGCATCAAACATTTTTGATCATCGCAAATGATGTTGGTTAACAATAACAATGAAACAAAACACCACGCATCCACATGCTTGTATAAAAGTAATTCTGGTTAACTATAAAAATATCGCAGCTTCAAACTGGGTAAACCGCCCATCATATGTCATAAATCCTGAATGTCACATTTCGTTCCAGACACTTCTTAGAAGGTGGTGCCCCTCAGTGATCTTAGTCGGTTTAAAAACCATAGACCATCATATATGGAGGTTTCCTGAAACAGGGCTACCCCTAAATCATTCATGTTATTTTCGGATCTTCCATTATCATAATCAGGATGATTTGAGAAACCATGATAAATAATATAATCCGAAATTCCGGCTATGATAAATAACCTAAATCATCCGTTATGGTATCCCAAAATTATTCAAAATTGTCCATTAGTCTATAAACCATCCATTTTGGGACCCCCAGATGCTTCAGCAACTGCAAGACCACCTGTTCTGGAACGACATCAACTGGTCCAAGATGCTTCATTTCCGAGGTCTGACTCTCGAGGCTGACTGCAAAGGTGCGGAACATCTTTTGCACCTGGCCGGTTGGGGGTGAATGATGTTGATTACTGGTTACCCTCTGGTAAACTAACATAACTATGGAAAATCACCATCTTTAATGGGTAAATCCATTATAAATGTTCATTTTCAAAAGCTCTGTTAGTTTACCAGAGGGTATAGATGCTTATAGATGGTTATAGATGGTTCATAATGGTTAATTAACAATGATTAATGATGTTGAGTACTGGTGATAATCGTTGATAATGGTGATTAATGAGTGGCAATTATTATAGATGATCAACATGGTGATTAATGGTGATTATATAATGGTGTTTTTTTCAGATGATCAACATGGTGATTAATGGTGATTATATAATGGTGATTATTAAAGATGATCAACATGTTGATTAATGGTGGTCGATTGGAATCCCCTTTGGTAATCAAACATGGCTAGCTGATGTTGGAAAGTCCCTGAGCCATGTCACTAGGGGATTGTCCTAAGGCCATGTTTTTATTGTATGGAAAGATGGGACAATAAAAGGCAATATTGGTTTGACATGGTTCTGGTTGGTGCTTGACCTACCCCTCTGAAAAATATGAGTTCGTCAGTTGGGATTATGACATTCCCAATATATGGAAAGTCAACAAAAATCATGTTCCAAACCACCAACCAGTTTATAGATGGTTATAGATGGCTCATAATGGTTGATTAATAATGATTAATGATGTTGATGACTGGTGATAATCGTTGATCATGGTGATTAATTCATGGTGATTATTAACTTACTGGTGCTTAGCAGGGAATGGATGGGACTGGGGGAATGGGATGATTATTACTAGTAAGTTAAAGAAACACGCACAGTAAACTAAGACACCAAATGTGGAGTTCCTCTGGATTTTCCCTTCATCTTATCATGCTGGGCACGGATCGTTCCAGACTGAGTCCATGGCCGAAAACTGAATCACTTAGGGGTCAACGTTGCGGAACCCACAATCCGTTGAAGTTGCCAAAAATCATTGGAAGTTCGAATCTGCCAAAAAAAAATAGCATCAAATAAACAAAATAATATATAATATATCAACCAACCCACAGTCTACGATTTCCTGGCCCCCAAATTTTGACCCATAAAAATTGATTAGATCTTTGGGATGTTGGGGATCTGCTCCCAGCCTGTTGCAACTGCTCCCGCTTCCCATCGATCTTCGTGCTGTGCTGCGCAGAAATCCCGGACCTCGATCTTCGGCGGCAGGGCGGGGGAGATCTCCAACTTCTTCCAACACGTTGTTGTGAACAATTCATGGATTTGATAGGGATTTAATGGGTATATATATATATACATATGTATGATATGTATATATAGGATAATAATTGTTCAGTCAAAAATCATATTCTCGAATTCTCGAACAGCGGCCTCCACATATAACCTCAAAATTTGAATAGATCCACCATATTCCCCATGGGAATTCTGGCGACAACGGCTCCCTGTGGAATTCCGACTGTTAAAAAAGGCTCCGGGCATCTTTTGATCCATACGCCACGCTTGGAAACACCTCGCCAGGGACGGCCTTGTTACTTCTTGGCGTCAAGGGGAAAATTGGACAAACCACGCAATCACGGCCAGTTGGTGGTTTGCATTAAAGATCTTCCTGCCAACACCTATGCTGCTAAAATCTATATCTGACCTAAAAAAAACTCCGCCAATTTCATCCAATCCGATCTACTATATCCTTTGATCCGTCGATCGATTTACAAGTACGCAGCCCCTATCAAGCCAAATGGATGAATATGATCGGAAACAACGTAGGGGAACCCTGCATATCGTAGCTTAAAATGTAAGCCCGCATACTGTAGCTCATTGTAGCTCCCAATAAAAAGCGAAACTGAGACCAATGAAGTTCAACAGTTACCCGCTCGGCCATGCCACATTCAAAGAAATTCTTCTTTCTGGAGATTCCCCACTTCCTAAGCTAAACCCCTCCAAAGCATTTCAAAGCCAGCAACCAACAACCAACAACCAAGGACTACAGTAGAACAACAGCAGCAGCAACAGCAACAGCAACAACAACAACATGGAAAGCAACAGCAACAGCGAAAGCAACAGCGACAACAAGAAGAGAAACAAGAACAAGAACAACAGCAGCAGCAACAACAACAGCAACAACAACAAAAACCAAAGCAACAGCAGCAGGAAGAAGAAGAAGACAAACGCGGACAAACAAGACAACAAACAAAATAACAAACAAGAAAAAAAACAACAATAATAACAATAACAGCAGCGACAGCACTTAAATATGCAAGAAGAACTATGGTTTGTCCAAAACAGGGGGTACATACACTGGATTAAAACCTCATTTCATCCATTCAAAGCGTTGCCAGCCTCGCCTCAAGCTGAGGTCTTCATCCAGAATCTCCGCAGCCTCGCAACATCACACGAGCGGCGAGCTGGGAGATCCCGGTGGCCGACCGTGTAAGTGGAGGTTTGAATGAATGGAGAACATGTTTACCCTCTGGTAAACTAACATAGCTATGGAAAATCACCATTTTCAATGGGTAAATCCACTATAAATGGCAATTTTCAATAGTTATGTTAAATTACCAGATGGTAATGGAGAAATCCATGTAAATATATGCATAGATGGATAATGATGGATAATGATGGATAGGTCGACTACGGGATTTCCCCATTGCCATGCTTGATTCCTGGAGGGCATGCATGTTCCGGAGATCCTTCTTTGAAACTCTTCGGCTCAACAATTTTCACGTCTAGTGATAGGATCCGCATGAAATCATCAGGGAATGTTTCACGAGAGAATGTCTGCCTGGGGCTGAGTGTGTGTCTGTGGGGGACTCCTCGCTGGACTCCCAGTAACTTTATCAGAAATCTGTCCCTGACGGCCCGGTTTCGGCCCAAAAAAATAGGGACTTTGACCGCCTTGATCATGCACTGCCTTGCTGCCAAGGCGTTCTTTGCCTCAGGGCTGGGAAAGCTGCAGTTTTGGACTGGAGGAAAATCTTCACCGAAACTGCCCAGATTTCTCACCAGAAGTCATGTGGGAAAGCCAATCCCATACACCAAACCATTTGGGGCTGGTTATATACCACCTATCTATGCTGATTTTGGGGGATGGCTTATCATTGGGTTTAGTAACTTTAGTAACACTTCACATCATCCACATCATCTTGATATGAACTTAATGTTTTGTCTCAGCATGCTTTTGCTTGAGCCAACACATCTTGTTCATCTTGCCCTTCAGCAATCAAACACGGTTCGCTGGGAAATCTCCGAACTCAATGGAGGTTCATAAATGAGAAAATCATCGAACCAAATGTTTTTTTTCAGGAAACCATGTCTGATTACGAGATGGTAAATACGGATTTAAGCATCACTTCTACAATTGTTGAACCATCACATATGGGGATATAGTTGATAGATAATTGTTAATTCCGATTGGTAATTCCTTCCAAAATTCCAACTGTTTCTAGTTAAACCTCCAACGTTTCCAACTCTCCAAGGTAAATCCTCCAACTTTTCCCACCTTTTGCAACTCGATGATCCCCGCATCACCTCCCAAAACCGCCGCCCGCAACCGAACTGGCGGAACTGGATCCGCAGCTACGCTGGGCACCCGCACGCCGAAGTGCGACAGCTGCTGCTGGGCGGATGACAAACGATCCAACATCAGGCCACTTTGCTTGGCCTCCTGGTGGACTATGCAACCCGGATTTGATGAGATGAATCACTTGAAAATGTGCCATAGTAATCACCAGCTATCTGTAGAACATATAGAAAAAGGGTATATTCTATCTATCTGTCTATCCATAGCTGTAATTACAGCACATGACTTGAATCATACGATTAGTAACACCAATGATCCGTCAATGGTTTTCAGGTCATTGAGGATTACCATGCGTCACTTGGGGTATTGATCTGGACGCACCACTACTTAGATCCTGTCTTATAAAATTGATGATGTTTGAGCATGAAAAACTTAGCTGGTGTCAACCCTTCCTAAAGAATACTAGTGGGTTGGGATCATCCCCACAAGTAGCATTGGTTGTTCTGCAATTTTTGAAGCCATCAACCTCTTGAATATAGATGAATCTATGTTTCTTTTTGGATAATGTGTAGGAAAGAGCGGAGATCTGCTTTGGTTTCCCTTTGAACCGACTTAGTGAACGAAATGTTTTTTTCTCAAACGGCAACTCTGAAGAACCGGTATGAATTGGAAACGGGATCGTCAAATGCCCAACTTTTACCACGGCAGCGCGGTATGACTCAAGGGCCCTAAAGCCAAATGTCATCGGGGACATGTGATCACTTGGCTATACAAAATATACATTAGACAGGTCAAACTCACACTCAACCTGTTCTTCAAGGATCACATGATGCTAGTGAAAAAAGTTGGCTCTAAGGCTTCTTCTGTACACGGTAAATGCACTCCTTCAAGACGCGGATAATGAGGTCCGGGCGCATGCTCTTGGTCAGAGCATCCGAGACCATAGTCCCTGTAGCAATCCAGGTAACAATGTCTCCTCCGCCATGATGCACATCCCAGGTCCTCCGGCCGTCTTGCCAAAGTGACTCATGAATCGACTGCAACTCAATGCCGAGTCGTTTGTCTGCGACCCTGCCGAGTACCTCATTCGCAAGATGGTCTGTTAGAGACCTGCAGTCTGAAAGCATCAGTTGTGGAATACAGCTGCGGCTGTCATCCAACCATGTTTTCATCGAGTCAAGTTGGCCCATCAGCTCGGCCAATGCTCCACGTAGCTTGTCACCGCTCTCTTGTCCAGCCTGCAGTGAATAAGCTTCGCATTGAAGAGTGCTGCGGCATACTCGCCGAATTGTATTTGATGCAAATCCCAATGGCATCACCCTGTAGGATGTAGTCTTGGGGTCTTTGTTGGGGTCTTTGATCTCATTGATGTCCCCAAGAAAATGGAAACGTCCTTGCTGTGATTTGTAGTTCTTCTCGTTTGAAAATGAAGCATCTGTCACTGTAATGATACCAACCTCTCCCCAGGTTAGATGTCCACCTGGAAAAATGAGCTTGTTCTCAATGCCTTGTTGTGCCAGCTGTACTACGGCATTTGCGTCATGCAAAATAGCAACTGTCGCTCCAGAAATACTGGACTGTAGGCGGCTCACACGATAACCCAAATCGGGTCTAGTCTGCCTTGCCACCCATGCCAAGGATCCCGTTACAGATCGTAATCGGGTCACATCATCCTTACCCAACGGCTCGGACGCTGATCTTCCTGGCGCGATCTTGATCGGCTTGATGCGACGGGTGTTGTCACAAGTGTCTTGTGTGATTGTTCCATCTGCAGTACGCTCAAATTGCTTGCCACAATAGCGAAACGAATTTGATTCACTGGATCCCAAGTTGAACTTCTCCAAGAAGCTGTCGATCACTGACTTTCCCTCGGGAATGTATGCGTACAGGATGTCATCCACATGAGTCGCCATAAGTGCAACGCAATCTTTGTCGGTTCCTGGAAGAAAATACAATCCTGGGTAAAACTTGGATTGTTTCAAGCCACTGGATCGGGCATCTCCGTCCAGTCTCAACCAAAAACCTCGACCGCTGTCAGTTAATCCATACACAGGCACTCTCACAAGGAAAAACACATATGGATCAACTCCCGGGAGACCTCCTCGGGGTTGTCTCATAATGAGGACTCTGTCGAGAGGACGACCTTGGAAATATGCGGATGCGACGTCCGCACTGTGCAATTGTGCGCCCTGGATCGCCGCCCAACAGCAAAGAATGTTGTGAGCTTCTGTGTCTGCCGTAGGACTGTCTGATCTCAGACCTTCACTGACCTCAAAATTGCCGCATGACACCAACCGGCTTTTGAACTTAGGCACATATTCTTGGTCTGCTCTTCCTTTCATAAATTGGTTCTTATCAACATCAACCCACTTGCTGGGAATACATTGATGCCCTTCTGCAATCAACCTCTCAGCATCTTCTTTTGAAATTTCAACAACAGCAGCGAACTCAAGGAACTTGTTCCACTCCTTGGTTCTGGCATCCATGATGTTCTTCTGTACATCAGGTGGCGCTGATTCATAGTGGATTGATTTCAACACTTTCTTACCTAGCTCTTCGTCCTCAGGAACTCCAACTTCCTGGGACAAAAATGATGCAAACAATGCTCGTGCTTCTTGTCGTTCCTCAGGACTTCGTTCTGAGTCTCTCTCACGAGCTCTTTCAAGATGTGTTCGCAGTTGATGTGGTAAGTCATTCAAAAGTTCCCTTCGCAATGGCCAAGATGACGCCGACGATGAAGCTAATGCACCTGAAACGGAACCACTAAAAGGTGGCGCCCCCGAAACGGAGCCACTTGGAGTAAGATCAGGCACAAAGGAGTCTCTTCGAGATGGCACAAGTGATGAGCCTCTCTCCGACTCAGGTTGTAGCTGAGACTCTACTCGAGGTCTCACGTTGCGTTCATGATCTTCATCTCCTGGGCGTGGTCTTTCAACTCTTCTCTCTGGAGTTCTACTTTGCGAAAAGATGTCTTCTTCCATAGGACCAGTCTCTTCCTCCTCTTCACCTTCTTCAAAGAAACCAGGTCGTATATCCCATTCATCTTCAGGTACTTCTGGTATAGGAGGGAGTGCTGAATCCACATTGCCTTCAGGGACAACTTCAACATCGTCTGCTTGTCCTGGACCTTCACGAACAACTTCAACCTCATCTGCTTGCCTTGCATCAAGAAACGCTTGTTGACTTGTATCATTGATGATCTTGTATGGAATCACAGGTTCACCATTCAACACTGATTGAGCAAGAGCCTCAGAAGGAGAAGCAATGCGTATGTTGTGAGAAGCTACAAGTACCGGAACGTTACCACATAGTAACCATATGTTCTTCTGGTTCTCGTGTCCGATCACACGACATGTTGGTGACCAGGACGTTCCTCCTCTCTGATTGTCTCGTCTGAAAGTGACAAGATCACCAATGTTGAACTCACGATCAAACACACTGGCATTGCGTGTCAACGCTCTCTGAACTCTTCTTGAACAATCAAGGTGAACAAAAGCCTTTTGTGCCTCAATCCTGGCCAAATGTTGTAATGCAAAAATTGATGAAGGGTCATGTCGGGCCTGAATGGCTCCGAGCTGTGCATGGTCTTCCTCAGACATGAGTGAAGCCACACCACGGGGAGCTCGACCGAGCACCCACTGAGATGGAGAAAAACCTCCAACACGTGCAGAGTCGTTCTTCACACTGAGCACCTGTGTGATGCACGACTCAACCTGTTCTTTGGTACAAGCCCCAACTTCTGTACACACTCGCCTGAAAAGAGCCTTCAACAAACCACCATGCCTCTCTACTCGGCCCAATGATTCCGGACTCTCAAGGGGCACATGGTGCACTTGAATGTTATGTTCATCCATGTATTGTTGTAAGACACCACGATTGTGCAAACCACGGTCACACATGATAGCAACAGGATGTCCTGCCCAACTGAACCAACGTTTGATGAGTGCGTCCAAACAGGATCGCGAAGAAGCTTGACCTGCTCCAACCTTCACGACTTCGGCCTGTTGAAAACAAGTACCAATGCAAACCATGTTGAGAACTTGATACTTCTGCCCAGTTACATCTGTCAACTCCAGTACATCAATCCCCAAAGTATGGTTGAATGTATAATCACTTGGAAGCGTAACTTTGTGAGTGGGTTTCTTTGCTGATGTTTTCTCGCATGTTTCACATCTATGCAACTTCACTGCATCAACAAACTCCTTACTCACCTTTGCAGCACGCACCAAATTGACCATCACCGTCTTGGGGACATGTCCAAAAGCCCTGTGCAACCTACGCACAGCAATCCTGACACGCTGAGGAAGTTTACGCCAAGACCTACGTCTTTCTGTTTCATCCTCTGGCAAACCAGGGATATCAACCTCATCCAAAAGGGTCTCTTCATGTGTCAGGTCCTCAACTGGATCCTGCAATGCAACATCTTCTGGGCCATCGACTGCATCCCAGTTCCCACCATGTTCCTGAGCCTCTTCGATGATCTCTGCTGGAAAGGCAACGCTCATCTGCTCCTCCAATTCACGTTCAAGTGACCAATCACGAATCCATTGACAAAACTCCCAATTCAAAACGTCATCCAATTGTCGATACATAGACCAATCTTGAAAACCTTGAATGAGTTCATCATCATTTGACACAAAAGCAAGACCAACTTCATTGATGTATGGTATCTGTGGTGTTTTGAATGATTCCCATCGTTCAGTGTGTGCGACATCAACAATGAGAAACCTACACCCTGTGGCATCACAATACTGTTCCAACTCAAATACAAGATTCCCATGACACAGTGGATAATGTTCTGACTTGTATTCAATTGCAACAATGACCAATGTGCAACCTTCGAACATGTCTTTCCAACCGTGTTGCTCAGCATCACCGTCCAAGTACGCAGCATTCATGCCAACGTCATAGGTGTGCTCGAAAAAATCCTGGAAAAGAGTCGGATGCGACGTGATGACTGCAACCCCTGAAGTACCATTGGAAACTTGAGGCTGCATCCCAAGACTGGACTGCATTACCCGGTCATGTTTGTTGAGATTGTTGATACCTTCCAACACCATCTTCCTGCGTTTCTTGCTCATGGTCCTCCTCTCATCAGGATGGACTGTCAAATCAACATTGGAGTCAAAACGTACAGCCATGAA